GTGTGTGTGTAAGTGTGTGTGTGTGCTTGCATGTATTCTTGTTGCATTTCCTCTGTACTGAGTTTGAGGTGATGGATTACCTATCACAGAGCTTGATCCAGCAGGGGAAATCACTATGACAAACACCCTCTAGCTTCAAGTTTTCTTTAAGCTGAAAAAGTTATGCTGCAGTTATTTCTCAGTCTTTATTCTGAATCTGAGTTGTTTATCTTGTGGCATATTGGAAATATAGAAGCTCACACCATAGAGCCACTTCAGTGTTATTAGCTATCGCAGTGGGTTCTGTTAGAAATCTGGTTCTGCATGATATGCACTTGATGTGTGCACTTGTGAACAGTGTGAAGCTGACATTTTCTGTTTGTTCCTATATAATGCCAGCTTCTTGTTGTTCTGTGGGTACATGTCTATGTATGAGTGAATCTTGTCACCAGGTGACGGGTAAATGTCAGGAGGAAGGTTGCAAACAGCAGTAAATGATGGCAATCCTACATTTCCTATGGAAGCACTGTCAACACATCCTACATGAATCGACAGGTTCATGTAGGATGTGTTGAAGGACACACGAGGTTTGATTAAATGTCTTCATATGATATGAATATGTCATTTATGTTTGTATGTGTGTAAATGAAACAATGTGATGTAATTTCAGAAGCCTAAATAAGCCCAGGGTAACAAAGCTAAATATTTGTCTAGGATATTTAAAGAAGATGCAAAGATCTTTGCACATCTTACCCAGGCTTCTGAATGCTACTACCTGCACCTGAGAAATAACCTGATGTAATAGCAGAACATTTGAAGTTGGAGGAAATCGAGTTTTGCCTTGAGGTTATGAATGAGAGAAATGTAATTGGTAACTCTGATGGCAGAGAGCTTGAATATGCTGACCTATTTAAGTATGTAGACAGCTTACAGGACTCTGGGTTCTCTGCACTGTACAAGTCAGGTCAACAGCCAGTCAAATTAATTTCAGGTTAACAGTTGATGTCAAATTAACCCTTTCAGCACTGTTAGTTTGGATTTGTAAATGTCACAAGTGCTAACATAATTTGGAGTAACTGGTATAGCAGTCTACACAATCATACGAATAAGCAGATTTTTTTTGTCTTTTAGAGACTTCACAACCAGAAAAATCACATTGATGTAAACACTCTATATGATGGAAAGAGGGATGTAATGGAGGGAAGCTGGGAAAGAGGAGATGCAGAGGGTATTGAAAGGATGCTGAAGAAAGTGACTGGTTCAAGGAAAGGTTGACTCCTGTGAAGGGACTGTGGGAACTTCTGTTAACTGTCAAAAAGTTAAACAAGTGAAACCTGACTCTCACAAATATGTAGCTCTAAGTTAAAGTGCTGTCTACTGCACAAAAGAAGCAAATAATCTGGAATCCTGTCACACCAATGTAACATAGCCCTAGCAAGCATCTGTAGTTTCACCACTCATTTCAAGTATGTGTGTGATATTTCTTTGCACAGTTGGTTAAGCATCCTTTTATTATGTTTGCTTCCAATGATTTGCGATGGAAACATTCTTGTGCAGAGTTCTGAATGTTTTCTGTAGTACTGTGACCCTAATATGAGCCATTCTTTCAGTTTTGAAGAATATAAAAAGCCTTGGAGTTTAATTTTCACTCATGACTATATCCGGGATCAGAATACATAGTTTGTTTAGATCGTTGTTAAACTGAGAGATTTTAAGTTATAAAAATCTTAATCAATTTGTCTGTCTCAGTCACTTTAATTAAAAAAAAACAAGGAGTATTGTGTAGTAACAAGACTGCCTGATAAATTCATTTAAAATAGTCTATTATCAGAATTTTTTTCTGCTATTTTTAGGGCTTCCCTGTGACTGCACTTGGTATAATTAGTGTCGGTGACCATTGGTTAAAAGGTTGGTTGAGATTGATGATACAAAGAGACATTCAAAGCCCGGTGGGAGGCAAGTATCCCAGGAAAGGTGGATGGTGGCCCTCGCTCTTACACTGTAGGTCCTCGATTGATGATGTGTCAGCAACACTGACCTGTTTTACTTGAAAAAAGGCCATCAGTGTACTCATATCCTAGCATGCCCTCCCATAGAGGACTGCATGTATGATATATTGTTTCATTATGTAAGGGCAATGTTAGCTCATCATCTGGTGCAGGTTTTCAATAGAAAGCAATAAAGAAATGGAAATTAAGTTGAAAGCTGTGGTGGTGTAATTTAGATTATGACATAGAGTTTGTGAGGGGGAAGCCAACATTTCCAAAACACAACCTACAGTGTGTCTTATTTGAATGAAATAAGCATTTGATTCCCTACAACGCAGCCAGAATTCTGGTTCCTACAGATTGGCTATGTTCCCATGTGGTACACAGATTATAATCAATCACTTACAAATACTCTTGATCTCAACTAGTTATGATTATAAAGCACACACATCTACAGAATAAGTTTCTTCCATTCCAACCTGTTCACCACCATGGACGGGACCAATTAACCGTCAAACGACGTCAGTGACAAGATTGTAGACCTGCGCAAGACTGGACTGGACTACAAGACCATCAACAAGAAGCTTGGTTTGAAGGTGACTACTTTTGGAAGAAATTCAAAATAAGCACCAGTCACCTGTTTTTTTTTGGTGCTCTATGCAAAATCTTGGCTTACGGGATAAAGATGACCATGAGGTACCCGATCGATCAGCCCAGAACTACATAGGATGAGCTTGTTGGAATACAACCACCAAGAATATCATTGGTAACACATTGTCCATCCATCTTCATCCGCTTTATCCGGGGCCGGGTCGCGGGGGCAGCAGCCTAAGCAAAGAGGCCCAGACCTCCCTCTCCCCAGCCACCTCCTCCAGCTTATCCGGGGGAATACCAAGGCGTTCCCAGGCCAGCCGAGAGATATAATCTCTCCAGCGTGTCCTGGGTCTGCCCCGGGGCCTCCTCCCGGTGGGACATGCCTGGAACACCTCACCCAGGAGGCGCCCAGGGGGCATCCTTGTCAGATGCCCGAACCACCTCAGCTGGCTCCTTTTGATGTGGAGCAGCAGCGGCTCTACTCTGAGCCCCTCCCGGATGGCCGAACTTCTCACCCTATCTCTAAGGGAGAGGCCAGCCACCCTTCGGAGGAAGCTCATTTCTGCCGCTTGTATCCGTGATCTCGTTCTTTCGGTCACTACCCACAGCTCGTGGCCATAGGTGAGGGTAGGGACGTAGATCGACCGGTAAATTGAGAGCTTCGCTTTTACACTCAGCTCCCTCTTCACCACGAAGGACCGGTGCAGCGTCCGCATTACTGCAGCTGCAGCCCCAATCCGTCTGTCGATCTCCGGCTCCCTTCTCCCATCACTCGCGAACAAGACCCCAAGATACTTGAACTCCTCCACTTGGGGCAGGAACTCATCCCCGACCCGGAGTGGGCACTCCACCCTTTTCCGGCTGAGAACCATGGCCTCAGATTTGGAGGTGCTGATCCTCATTCCCGCTGCTTCACACTTGGCTGCAAACCGTTCCAGTGCGAGCTGGAGGCCCTCACCCGATGAAGCCAACAGAACCACATCATCTGCAAAAATCAGAGATGAGATTCTGAGGCCACCAAAGCGAAAGCCCTCCGCCACTTGGCTGCGCTTAGAAATTCTGTCCATAAAAATTATGAACAGAACCGGAGACAAAGGGCAGCCTTGGCGGAGCCCATCACCCACCGGGAACGAGTCCGACTTATTGCCGGCAATGCGAACCAAGCTCTTACAACGGTTGTATAGGGATCGAATGGCCCGTAGCAATGGGCCAGACACCCCATATTCCCGCAACACCTCCCACAGGACACCCCGAGGGACACGGCCGAATGCCTTCTCCAAGTCCACAAAACACATGTAGACTGGTTGGGCAAACTCCCATGCACCCTCAAGTATCCTGGAGAGGATAAAGAGCTGGTCCAGTGTTCCGCGACCAGGACGAAAACCGCATTGTTCCTCCTGTGGTAACACATTGTAATTTATTCAAATATTGCAGCACCTATAAGATCCCTCCTGCTTATGAAAGACACACGCACAGGCCCGTGTTCGGTTTTTCAGTGAACATGTAAATGATTCACAGAAGGCTTGGGAGAAAGTGCTGTGGAAACCAAAATGAAACTTTTTGGTATTAGCTTCATCTCTCTTGTTTGGAGGAAAATAAATGAGTATGACCCAAAGAACATCATCCCCACAGTTAAGTACCGACATGGAAAGATTATGGTTTGGGG